TTTAATAACCGGGTGGGTTTTAAAAAATTTTTTTATATAAATTTTATAAAATTTTATATATGAAATTTAAAAAAAAAGGGTTGGGATCCCGCGGCCTAGTGGCCTAGGCACCCAACCCTCCATGAGCGGGTTTCGGGTTCAAGTACTAGTAGTTATTCCACGGTTCTTATTTAAACTTCCATTCTATTTCTTCACATTTATTGCCCGGATCTCGGACTGATCCAGATTTTAAACTAAATTTTCCTTTTTTTTTTTTTTTTTTTAGCCGCAACCATATAAAGTTCTCTTTTTTTTTTTTTTTTTTTTAGCCGCAACAATTTAAAATTCGAATTACTTTATTTAAGTTAAAGCATAAAATTATTTAAATTGCAAAGTTATTTATGTTATTTATTTAACTGTAATACATTTGTTCTAATCGCATAATATATATTTATTGTTACTCTACTCGCTATTTAAATATTACTTTAACATTTCTAGAATTATGAAACTTGAAAATATTGGTAGTTCCATTCTTTGTCGTTTCAATATTTTGGGTTTGATCTTGGATATTTTTAAATGGAATTTGATTCTTTGTCATTTTAATATGTTGACTTTGGTTTTGAACATTATTGAAAGGAGTTTGATCTTCAGTTATTTCAATATGTTGGGTTTGGTCTTGAATATTTTTGAATGGAATTCGAAATGGCTTGTTCAACTTCGCTTGAATTTCTTCACGTGTAAGCTTTGGTTTTTTTTTGTGAGTAATTTGATGTGAAACTTGTGTAGCAGTAGAATTAAATTCGTGTTGCATGACCGAAGAAGTATCTTGCGTAACTTGTTGTGTAGTTTGAAATGTTTTATGTTGTGTAATTTGAACTTCATGTTGCATAACTTGAGACTCTTTATATTGTATGGCTTGAGATTCATCTGGTTGTATAACTTGAAAATTCTCTTGCCGCATAATTTGAGATTCCTCTTGTTGCATAACTTGAGATTCTTTTTGTTGCATAACTTGAGATTCTTCTTGTTGCATAACTTGAGACTCCTCTTGTTGAGATTCTCCTTGTTGTACAATTGGAGATTCTTGAAGTGCATTAAGTAACAAGGTAGAATTTTTAAGCCGTTGTTCATTATTAGGAATTTTGTAAGTACGTAGCCCATCAGTTGAACGGTGACCCGAAAATTGCATCATTTCATGCTCATTAACATTAAGATCTGATAAAAGTTGAATAGCAGTTCTCCTTCCCGAATGATTAGTAATTCTTTGATCAGTAATGTTAATACCTGAGATACGAGCAATTTCTTTCATCATATTGCTTAAAGTATTTTTTCCTAATCTATCTTTACCAAACCAGTTTCCATTATTAATTTCTTGAGCATTCCTTGTTAATTGCAAGTAAAAATATTCGCATGCATCTGATAGACGTAAATTAACATAATTACGAAGATCTTGAATCGGCTTAAATTTATTATTAAGTTGATCAGCAGGAATATGAATTTGACGGCTAGTAAATCTTCCATATTTGTTTCGACCTTTTAATCCACCTTGATTGTTTTTCTCACGCCCGATTATAAAAATCAAACTTCCATCTTGTTGAAAATTAAAACAACTTAATAAAAGTCGATAATGATCACCACCGCGAAGTCCCAGTAAGTATGCATTCCAGAAAAAAGCTTTCCAAGTAAGTTTTAATGCCGTTTGTTCACCAGATTCAAGATATAACAAAATCTGGCGAATTTCTTCTGCAGTTAAACCTTTTGACTGATCAATTTTACCTAGCCCTTGATCTTGTAATTCCATAATTTTTCCATCTACAACACGATATAATATAGGAAATTGAAATCTATCATTGATATTCACATTCTTAATAGCAGAAACTTCGAAAAAGTATCGACGAAGTGAGGTATAAGCAGATACAATTGATTCTGGTTTATATGGTTTTCCATCTTGTCGCTTCATATCTGCAAAAAATTCGCACAATTCTTGCTCAAGCTGATTTTTGTCATTAAGTGTTTGAATGTCATAAGAAATATTCTTTTTATTACGATATTCTTGTAAACTTCGAACCCATTTTTGTGTACAGGCATCAGTATTTTTAATTCTAGATTTATTTATATAACGTTGAACATTATCTTCAGTTATATTATTAGAATTATTAGATGTATTAATTTCATGAGTAGATGTAAAATTATTTGACGAAGACATTGGGAAAGAGTTAATTTTTTTTAATTGATTTTTATTTTTTTTTTATTTAAAATTCTACGCTTATCAGTTACGTCACTTCTATTAAAGAAATAATATGAAAGTATAATTGAACCGTGGAATAAATCAGTTATTGACCACGAAGCGGGCATAACTAAAAATTTGACTCAGATCTGATAATTGGTCGATGACGGAATGGCTGCGCCATTCTGTCATCAACCAATTATCAGATCTGAGTCAAATTTTTAGTTATTGCCCGCTTCGCGGTCAATAACTAATACATACGGATTCTACGAATATTTGAATATACTCACCGTGGGAAGTCCAAGTGAGTACAAGTCTGAATTAGGAATTTCCG